AGCTGTGGAAAGGGAGAAAGTTGAATAAGACTTTTCTGTGGTACATTCTTCAAAGCCTTCCTTGAAACATCTTAGAAGTTCATTAAAATCTGTGATTCTGTGAAATCATAATGGGATCTCCCATAAAATCCTGCTATCCTGGAGTCCCAGACTGACCTGGGATTCTTTAGATGCCCTGCCCCTTTTCCCCTGACCATGAATTATTGGGTGTTTTCCTAATGTTCATGCAGTTTTTTTCAACAATTCTAGAAGATTGAAATGCCCCTACTAAGGCAATAAGAGTTTTAACCTAGAAGGTATTTGGGGGTCTTTTTGACCCTATGTCTTTTGGCCCTTCCCACTACAGCCTCTTTGAAATAGAATTCAGCCCTCAGACTACACCCCTGGGTTATCTGATGGTGCTATATATTTAAGAGATGCTTTCTTGATATCTTTATATTTACATAATCCATAATATCAAGTGAGATCACATCCCCACCCCGTCTTACCAAATCAACCTGTGTGATAATCTCCTTCCAATCAATTACTCATCATGAAGATGTAATAGATTTTTGTAGTATATAGTTTCAAAAATACAGACTATATAATTTATTTTCTTTCTACTGCACCAACCATAGAAAATAAAGGAAAATACAACCTTCTACTAGGATGCTCGCCTGGTTTATTTTTTCATTCAGCCATTAGTTTATTCTTTCTGGGGTTCCACACTGGAAAAAGGGCATCCATCAGACAGTAAGGGCTTTATTTATGAGGGTGTTGGTGTTTCAAAGGGGAGGCTGTTGAATCCCAAAAGAGCTTTTCATGGTGTACTCTCAGCGTGCATCTGAGGCCACTGCTCTGCTCATCAGAAGGAGAAGCAGAAATGTGGGCTTTACTTAGCAACGGTGTGTTTCACTGGTCCCTCTGCTCTCTGACGTTTATTTACATATTGAGCGAGTAAATGGGTAGAACAGATGGCAACCAGACATTTGGTGGTTCTGTTCCTTTGCGCTCCTTGGGGGTCTTGCATTCAGCCTTTGCCAAAGTTCATCCTAAAATGAGGAGCCTGTTCACAATTATGAAAGCCTTGTTGGCAGCTTGCTAGAGACACAGATTAAACTACATTAGTTAAATAATTACAAGATTGAGTTAACAAGTCCAGATAGCTGTTTCTAAAGGCTTGTCCGTGAGCCTGATGTGGTTTTCATCATTGAGGAGAATGTGTTTTGGTTTTGAAATAAAAAGGTGTCCTATTGGAAAAAAAGCCCAGACTACTGTCTTTAAAAGCAGCTAGACTGTAACCATCTTGCCATAACATTTTCGATAAATGTTGAGCTGCCTCAATGAACTTGGCAGGTCCAACATTCACAGATTTTAATCTATCTTAAATGGTGAAAAACACATGGAATCTTTATGATCATTTACAACTGTCAGAAATTGGTGGTGGAATTTTATTTCTGTTTACAAAAGAACACAGTTTTGCTAAGGCAGGGTTGCTTTGGAGTAGCTGAATGATGTTATAATGAAACTTCAGTAATATCTGCATTATAATTGAGGAACTAACACATTTGCATTGGAACTTCTACAGTGTGGTTACTGCTGGATATGTAGAGCTCTATGTTTCTGTACAGCTTATACTTTACTACTAGTAGTTTACTGTTAAATTAAAGATCTGTAGTGGTTCTGTTTTCCTTGGATTCCCTGGAAAAGATATAGCTGAAAGAATATAGTTGAACATATAACGGCTTGGAAAAGCAAGCTAAAGCTCTCTGGGTGGTGTACAAGACCTGGTGCTAGAAGGATAGTAGAACTGGCATGTGGGCCGTAGTGAGAATCTTGCTGCAAAGTTGGGGGGCTGCCACTGAGAAGGCCTCTTCTCTTTGCTGTCACCAACTGAGTCTCCCTTGGAGGTGGCAGTTGGAGGTAGGTCCTGGATGTTGATTGTACTGTTAAGTTTGACTGGGTCTGGTAGAGGCACTCTCTGAAGTATTGTGGAAGGATGGAATGACTTGGCAGTGCGTTCAGCATATCTGTGTACAGCATGCGATGAGGATTATGAGTCTATCTGTATTTGACAATATATTGTACATATCACTGTATTATTTTTGACATTTCTTCACTGTATATTTCTTAGAGTTCATTTAAGTCTTTTAAAATAGAAGGTGAAATTTTGATACTGCAAATGAAAGTGGAAGCAATTGTTCACAAATTAACAGTTTTGGTTACTTTCTTTTACCTTTCAAATACGCTAGAAATGGCACAGAAATGTGATATATTTCTCTGCAGAAAGAAGCTTTGGCTTAGGCTGTGTAAAACTATAGAATTCTAGAGCTGGAAGGAATCTTGCAAAGAGAATAGAATAATAAAAGATGAAAACCTGCAATGGAGTGAAAAAATTGATTTACTTACTTTTAGCATTCACATAGTACATTTCTGCCAAATGTTCTAGGTTTATAATTGAAAATGCTAAAAAAATTGCAAAGGCCAAAAAATAAAAAAATAAATCAGGCCAATAGTTGGTTGCTTTGCATTCACAAGCTTAGACAGCTTTCTTTTCTCCTTTTCCTTCAGGGTACATCTCTGACTGACCTGGTTTGGACCATCATGGTCAGGGGAAGAGAAATCTTAATGGTTTCTTCTTCCATGCTTCCATATACTGGTCACATGTTGCATGATCACGAGAACTGGGTTCTAGTCAGTCCCCATTTAACTATGGAGCTCACTGGGTGAGTGACTCTCAGCCCAAGCTACCTCACAGGGTTCTTGATGTGGGCAAAAGATTGAGAGCAGGAGGAAGAGAATGATGTAAACTATCTTGAGTTTCAGGAAAGGAAAATGCAGGATATAAGTATAATAAACAGATACTGCTATGTGACTGGCATGCCAAGAGTAAGGGAAAAAAGGTCACCATGTCTTCTTTTCCCCTAGTAAAATCACAAAGCACATGACTGGCATACTGAGAGTAGGAGGAAAGGGGTCTTTTCTCCTAGTGATTGTGAGAACCTGACCATTAAATAGCGTCAGAGAGAAGAGCGAGGGCTTGCCCCTATCAATTCTTTCTTTGTAGCATGGACTTGTTGACCTGGCTACCTCTTTGTCTCTGGCTCAGGTTTTTTTAAGTAGGCCTGGGGAGGACGATTCTGGGGAGTAAAGATTCTGAAGAGATGGAAGTGATTGGACAGCCTAGAAAAATCCTAAATAAATAAATTTGAGCGAAGTAGAGTTATACCTGTATGGTCACTGTTGTTATCTTAAAAGAAGAAGCTCCTTCAATATATATGCGACTCAGAGAGGAGACAGAGCCCCCCTCCACCCTCTCAGCAAGCACAGTTCCTTTTGCACCAGCTGAGGTCCCAAAGATGGAAGACTATGGGGAGGGGGATTCTGGAGGGAGGCAAAGGGCAAAGTCTGCTAGCTTCCACTAAATCTAGGTGGCACCTTAACCCTCCTCATTGTGTGGAGCATGAAAACATGTAACTGGGCAAAATTAGCTGTCTAAATTTTGAGGGAAAGGAGGGAGAAAGGCAATCCTTGTCTCCGTGCTTTTCCCATGTACTATTGGATGCCCATATTTTTTCAAATTTGGAAGGTTACAGGCATCCACAAATGAGTGCACAGAAGATGAGGATTGTACCCTTAATGCTTTATTTACTCCTGGGTCTTGGAGCTTATATGTGAATGGTAAAGAACCTTCAGGAGGAATGTGTACATTGTAAGCATATGCATCTTCCCCCCAATAGCCAGTTGTCCAAGTGCAAGTTTAGACAGTGACTTGTGTGTTTTCCTGAATCTCACTGAATAAGAACTTTAAAAAATCACTAGGGGTGCAAACCTAGACAGGGAAAAAAGCTTGCAGCTACCAGCATGCTAGTTGGGGCATACTCGGAGCTATAGGCTCTTTTGCTGCACACTTGTATAGATAGGATTGTGCCCTAGGGTATAATCCTGTATATGGTTATTCAGTGAGAGTAAGACCCATTGAATTCATCTTCTGAGGAGACATGTATATGTTTGTACCATAAGCTCTTCTGTCAGGGTAATTTATGAAGAAGAGACTTGGTGATTATTTTTTTGACCTGCAGTTCCTATTAAATTAGTTTAAACGGGTTGGGGGACTTAGATAACTACTAGTTTATGTGGGGCAAATGAACAGAGAATAACATTTAAGATGTCACAAGAAGTAGAGGTTTTTCCACAGGATTTAAAGGATGGTACCATTGTGTTTTCACATACCTGATATGCAGCTTGTATTGCTGTGGCATATTGTGATGACTGAAGGAATGCCAGACGTTTATTTGTTATTAAATTTCTGCCCCACCTATTAGCCTAGATGGTTCACTAGAGGGCTATGAACTTGTGTACAGCTAATTAATTGTGCAATACAACTGGTCCTTTCTGGATTAAACTTTGATAGCAGAAGCAGGTTAGATTAAAAACATTATATAAGATTTGTGTGCTGTAACTTTGCATATATCACAGGCAAAACATCTTTGTGAAATGCTCTGTTGGCAACTGGTAGCTTGATGTAGATACTGGATAAAAATACTGACTCAGAAATCTTCTCATATTAGTTTCCCCTTAATACAGGCAGTCCCTGGGTTCTGAGAAAATGGAAATTTGTCTTTAAGTCAACACAAATTTGACTTGCATAGTTGGCCCTCCACATTCATGGGGGTTAGGGGCACAGGACCCTGTGAAAGTAGAAAAACTACAAATAGCCTCCACCCTCCTCCAACTCACCAGTGCTTCTCTTTGCAGCAAGAAAATGCCAGAGAGATTTCCCCCTCTGGATGGACTGGGCAAGAAGGCATCTTTCGAAGACCTCCTTCTCTCTCCTTTCGCTTCCTCTCTATGGTGCTGACAATTTACTATAGTAATTTTCTTAATTAATAGACTTTATGACAGTCCCTTCATAAGTATGGGTTGTTGATCAATCAGATGTTCATAGTTCAGGGACTGTCTGTAATTCAAAAGAGAGTGCTTGTGTATATATTATAATATTTTTTTCTGTGTTTTGACAGACAGATGTATTGGTGCTGAGTTGCGATCTGATTACAGATGTTGCTCTTCATGAAGTAATTGACTTATTCCGAGCCCATGATGCCACACTTTCTATGTTGATGAAGAAAGCTTCTGAACCCACAGACCTCGTACCAGGGCAAAAAGGAAAGAAAAAGCTAGGTGAGTGAGTACTCTTTGTTCTGGAATTCTTGCTGCTGACCTTGTCACAGGGATGGCAGTTGTTGTTTATGACCATCCAAGCTTTAAAAAAACCTAAGATGCGTCCTTCAAACTGGGTCAATGGTTGTCCAGTACAGTGTTTTGTTTATTTTTATTAAATATCCTATCTTGATCTATATCCTGTCTTTTTTCCTTCTATGAACTCAAGGCAGCTTACATAATGCTCCTCCTCCTCTTGATCTTAATTCTACAACAGCCCTGGGAGGTAATTTAGGCTGAGAGGCAGTGACTGATCAAAGGTCATCGGGTAGCAGCGGCATGGTATATAAACACGAGTAAGGCGCACAAAGCTGTGCACACTGGTCTTGCCTTGGAATTGGGCATCCACAGTTCCATTTCTCCATGCATGCTGGGCAATGCTTGCATATCTTCCAATGTTGTAGCAAGATCTGTAAAAGGACTCTACTCTTACTTACCCAAATGTAAGCAGACTCTCTGTGATCAGGGATCCTGATAAAGCAGAATCTCCAATCGTGCAGAAGATTCTACTCACATTTGAGCACACGTGAGCAAAGACCCTCTTTAGACCTTGGTGCTCAGCATGGGGAAGTCGAGGACTGAAGGAGAGCCAGCATGCATAGTTCATGTCCCTTGTTTGGGTTTGTATACCCCATTCAGTATCTATGCTTGAATAAAACTGCTGCCATTCTCTCTCTAATCTTGGTACTGTCACTTTTTATCTGGTTACTGCAGCTTTTGTTACTAGCATGTGTCCAGAATTCTAATTGTCAGTGAATATTGTTACATGGAACAATAATTCAGTTCTCTGCGGTAAATGAATGTGACAAAAGTAATCTGATTTTTGATAAGCAGCTTGGAGAAATATCCTTGCTATTAATCATTCCACATAATACACATGAACACAATATACATTTTAAAGAAGAAATACAGTGAAAAATATGAGATGAGCACTGTAATCCACTCAGTTGCATGGTATTTCCATTCTCTGCTTATAACTCTTTCAGATTGTAGCTGCAGGGGTCACATGTGATGGTCGCTTCCCTTGGTTCCTCCTTGAATGTCATGTGTACACCAGAATTTTCAGGAATGCTGTGTGCTGTGATTCAGGTGGATTACAGGCAAGCTCTGTTGTCATTAGACGGTATTAAAGCAAGGTTATAACATGGTTGTGTTATGATTTTCTCCTTCAGTGGAGCAGCGTGACTTCATTGGAGTGGATGACTCAGGAAAGAGGTTGCTCTTCATGGCCAATGAAGCAGATCTAGATGAAGAAATTGTCATTAAGAGATCCATCCTTCAGAGGTGAGCTTTGAGATTCTTTACAGTTCATTCATTAGGCATAGGAGCAGAAGTGTTGAAAACAAGGAGGGCTGTTAAAAAGACCAAAAGTCCAGGAACCAATTGCAAAGGTGAAAAGTAGCTCTTGTATATAGTTGTGGATTCGTAGTTCTTTAAAAAAAAAACCTATAGCAATAGTAATTCCTCTGACCAGAAACACACAGGAATAACACATAATACAGTCTTTTCTGGGTTATACCATTTCAGAATGCATTGAGAACTTCAGACTACATGAGGGAATGCTCCCCCACGTCAGTAATTTCCTGGCTATTTAAAACATCCTAACCTCCACAAAGGAATTAGTGTGATTTTTCATTCATTTATTTTATTGAGTTCTCATTTACTTTATTGTACTATCCCAGTTTTTTTTAATAAAAGCCCAGTGGCTCACCTCCAGTAATTGATTAGCTTCATACCATCAACAATGCAATGAGTATGTGTGGGGATAATAGAATGTACGTGTGGGAGTGAAAAAACTGCTAAATATGCTTTCTGAAATGCCACTGAGGACAATGTTATAATATGAGTCTGGGAAGATTTATTAAGAAGCAACTGTATAGCTGCTACCTCAAACCAGAGAGGCATTGTTTCATTACAGAATTTAGAACAATAGATTATTCTCACCGATGTTCCTCTCCTTTTAGTATCACTTAAATGGTATGTAGAATATATTCTGGATTGCTACTGTACCTTTATTTCATGATGAGTTTCAGTCTTGCAAGAAAAAGCTGCTGTTGAAGAAGAGTTTGTTCTGCCATACTACCTGAGTTAGGATAATAGGTGCAGTTCCCATTCTTACCCAGCATTGTGGTATTACTGGGTTGTCTTTGTACTCACCATTTGTTAAGAGCCAAATCAACCTAAAAGGATTGTCTCCTGATTATTCTAATATAAGGTGGATGTGTTTGCTAACCAGTGTGCCACTTATCTCACTGCTCCATGGCTGGATTCATACTTATAATACAACTATTAAAATAAAAAAGTTAATTATGTCTAACTTAAGTATCACTCATTTCAGAGGATCTACTTTAAGTATGATTAAGGTTTGATTCTATCTGGTTGCACTGTTTCTTGAGTTTATTTGGCTGTCTCATGTCAGGAGCATGAACCTCAAAAAGATCTTGATTTCTGTAGCAAATGGCATAAATTTAAAAGTAAAACAAATGGGAAAGAAGCACACCTTGCTTCTCTGAGAAAGAGGTTTATAGTTATACCTTTGGTGCTGACACCAAAAAGGTCCTATCACATCACCCTCCACAGTTGCTGTGGAAGGGCAGTATAGAGCCTGCTCTTCTTAGGAGGTATTAGTGTATGGGTAGGTTCATACAAGGGAAAGTTATTCATAAAGTATCCTTTTTAGATAAGGGGAAAGTATAATCAGCTATAGAAACTACCAACCTGATGGAAGAGACCCTTAAACCTATATCAATCACATCTAACTATTTGGTAATGCTGAACTAGGTTATACAATTCTGGATTGCCTAATTGTTGTTTGGTGTGAATGAAAAAAAGTTTGATGTATTTACAGTACTTACTTGGATATTGTAGTAGTATCCTTGGAACTCAGAAATAATACTTAAAAGTGAGCCATTTGATGAATCTGTAACTTCTGAACTTCAAGCTCACAAAAAGTGTTTGTGCAAATCTTAAACACACAGAGAAAATATTGATTAAGATATCCTTACCCTTTGACTGCTTAAATTCTTGAGTATCAAAGACTGTGCCCTGCTTTTGGGCCTTGCATCTTACCTCCCTGTTGTCACCTTATTCCCCTCTTCTCAGAAGAGGATTATAGCTAACCCAGCCTACTTCTGTTCTGTGTCCTCTGCTGGAATGTGGCTCTTACCGTAATATATGCTATTGACATTTGCTCTGTCTGTCTCTTCTCTCACAACCTCCAGTTTCATATTTCAATCAATCTCTTTCATATCTAGTAGGAATCACTTAAATTCTTTGCTATAATTGTAGTGTTATAAGAAAACTTAGTTCCATATTTACACTGGCCCTATTAATTTCTGTTGTTACTTGCCAAGGTTTAGGTGTACACTAGTTAGCTAAAGGAGGAAGTGTTAAAATAGCCTGACTTTTAATCCTGGGAACAGATGTGAGATGGATGTGTGGATCTGGACATTTCATAACATACTTTGAAGCCTCATTGCAGCTCCCATCTCTCTAAGCATTTGGCAAACCATGGGGTTGGAAAAATAATGAGAATTCCATTGGCTTTCCTTTTCCTTTCAAAGGTGGTAGTGCAGCTGATATATTTGTTTTCAAAGAATGATTGCTATGAGCAGGGAATTGTTTGCCTCACCTTAGACATTTATGGTTGCAAAAAGACAGACAGTAAAAGACACCTGTTGGAGCAGGTCTAAATTTGGAGCATTTCCTTTTAAAATGCTGTAAGTTGTTTTGAGGATGAGCTGTCCCCTATAAACCATCTGTCTTCGTGGGTGTTCCATCTGTAGAAATGCAGGTGCAGTGCTGCTTCAGGAGGATGTCTAATAAATCACACTGACAATCCGGACTACTCATTACCTCATTCAGAAAGGAATACCTCCTAAATGTATGGGGTAATCACAAGAATCACTTTGAAGTGATTTCAGTCTTGTGTTGAAAGGCTTTACTCTCACACATGCAAAGTGTCTCACTCTTCCCATGTCCTGCTGTAAGGTACAAATAAAAAATTAATTCTCCTAAAGTTCCTACTATGTGGGGGTTAATGTGTATGTTTGTGTGTGTATGTGTGTGGTTAGGACACTGGTACTTCCAATTCCTGCAATGCTACTTCAAATTGATTAAAACAAACAAAACCCCTGAATTAGAATCTGTATAGATGTACTTAAATTTTTTGTTTTTTGCTCCAGTGACCTTTTAATGAAATTTTCTCTCTAAAATCCAGCTTGAATTCTGTTTGCCATCTAGAATATTACTCTGTAACATAGTGTAGCTCCTATATAGTTCATCTTTCTGGTTAATTTGGGTTTTACATCAGTGTTGAGGTTTTTACCACTTCCTTTGAGGCATCATAAATCACTGTGATTAGAAAGGGGCTATCTAGCAAGTTGGGCATGTTAAAGAGAAGCAAAAATGTTCTTTTTGGGAGAAACCAATTTTCTCTCCCTACCCTATTCCTTCCCTTTCATAAGCAGACTCTAACTGCCTTCCATAAGTGATACCAGGACTTAAGCCTTCATGATAGATTGATTGTTAACCCTGCGGGAAATTTTTGCTTGTGCACATACGTATGTCTTTGTATATGCTACTGTCTCTATTTGCCTGGGGCAGCTGCAATTTCCAAATAAAAGCCCAAAAGAATTGTCCTGGAAAACCCCAGTTTGGAGCAAATTTTAACTCACCTGTCTCTGACCTGGTAACTTCCATATGTGTTGGATTACAAGGTGCTTTCCATGTATTTTGGAGGATGCAAAATTGTGTGCAAGAATGTCTGTGCACTCAGGTATAGAACAAGTTGTTTTCTTCTCCTCCTATTCTTCCTCTAAGGAAATCACAATGACATATATACATTGCCCTAATGTTATTGTCTCAGCAAACCTTTGAGGTAAGGCACACTTCTTGAACCTTATGTCACCATGATGATCCAGTCACAACAGTACTACTATATCATTTATGTTGAGTTGCAAATACAGGCAGAAAATGGAATAAACTTAGAAGAAAAGTCTGAGCTGAAAGTTAGAGTAACACTTGTGCTCAGGCATCCTTCTGTTTTTCAACATACTGCTTTTTTATTCTGCTGCTAGCAGTTTCTGTGAGAGACATGACAGATGTATTCTAGAATAAAAAGTAATGGAAAATATTCTGTTACTATCACTAGTGTTTGTAGAAAACACTAAGTACTTTATGCTGAAAGCACTATTTTACATTGATTTTTTCTTTCTCTCTCCTGCCTTTTTTCATTGGCCATATTTAACACAGTTTAAAAACAGGAAATAAAATCATAAAGTACCATGGCTATAATCCAAGCTTCATGGGTACAGCTGTGCCTTCAGGTTTCACAATAAAGCCAAATGAGCTTCCATCCCCTGATATGTATAGATCACTGTGCACTGGCCATCATGCAAAACTGAAGGTTGTGCATGCGTCTCTGTAAAATCTGTGCATATTTGCAGAAGGTGACGAATAGAGCTGCTTAGGCCCCATATTTATCTGTGTGTATGTGTATAAAAACTAAACTATCTTCTGAAAGCAAACTAGAAACTGGCTTTAGTAGATTGCTCTGCATAAAAACAGTCAAAAGCTCCTTATACTGTTTAAATTAGCTATAAAGTCTTAGATAAATGGAAGTTCTGATGGATAAATGTTTCTTTGCTGGCCGACTGAAACTGAAAAGAGATAAAGCCTGGTAGGTCTTGCTGACAGTGAATTCAGAAATTGCAGCACCTCGTCATAGTTGCGTGTGGTATTGCCCCACCTTTGCCGGCATTCTGAGGAATCTTCCGCCTAGGAATGCACCACATAAACTATTGATAGTGTGTGTGTGCGCGCACCCGCATGTGCACAAGCGCATGCTTATTGATGGTTGTTTGTTTTGCATGCATGTATACACCTTTTGCATTCCTGTACCTTGGTTTCTCCCTCTTTTCATGAGCTTTTAATAAAACTTTAAAATTTTGAAGATGATGGGTGGTAGCTCAATAAAGAGTATTTGAATGGATGTTTTTGAGCTACATTCATCCCTCCAGGTGAGTGATCCTGTGTCTTAACAACACTAATCATGTTTTTCATATGAAGAAGCTGGAAAACACCAGCAAATTCCCAGATGAGCGTTTCATTACTGGCAATTTTAAGTGTTCCTTTTAGAGTACTTTTTCAGAGGATCCATTCTGTGTGCTTTTAGTGTTTATCTCGGTCCTGTCAATGTGTTGGTCTTTTGACTGTGCAGTATCTTTTGGTGGACTGTTTCTAAGTTGACAGGTTACACAGAATAATTTTACTGTGCTATTGGG